GTGAGGGGAAGCCCCGGCTTAGCGTGCGCTGAGGCCGGGATAGAGTGAGCTGAGGCCGGGCTAGCGTGAGCGGAAGCCCTGGCTTAGCGTGAGCTGAGGCCGGGCTAGAGTGAGCAGAGGCGGCGGATTCGACGAAGGAGGCTTGCGGCAACCACATGTGACGACCCCGGGCTGGACTCCGCTTCTTCCACGGTGAAAGCCGATCCGGCGATCGACAGCGCGAAGTTGATGTATTTCCTCAGCAACCAGCACGGATCAGCTCTAGGCATGACGAAGCGGATATCGTCCTCTTTTGGAAGACCAAACTAAGTAGTTTCGCTTTCACAACGAAACACACAGCGTCTCGACATGGCGGCATCAATACTACAGCGAGAATAAAAGTTATGCTTTCTTTCTTTGCGTGAACATTTGGGTTGCGTTATGCAAATCTTCCCACATCGTGACGTAGGTATGTGGGGGCGTGTTAGAACGAGCCGTTTTAGGTAGGCGTGGCTGACACTTAACTTTTATAAAGAATATCTCTTTGGATTTGAGACTTTAGTCTTTGCAACTTTACAGATCTTCTTTATGCACCAAGAGCTTGTAACACTTCAAAGAGAAAGGAAAAATTGAAATCGCATCATATGACCCCTTTAAATTTCAAAACTGCTCTGAAATTGATTTTAGATTGATTCAGTCTGTTGACTGAGACTCGTGTTGCAAAGTGAGTGACGCACGGTGTGTGACTGCAAGCGTTTGGGAATCAGACGGGTTCCCGGCCGAGTGCAGAATATTGTGTTGTGTGTGTCTCTGGCAGAGTGTTCAGTGTGTGTTGCATCATTTAATGGCCCCCAGTGAATTTATCACCTCTTTTAGCAAGGCTGAGAGGAGCTCAGGTGTAAAATGTCCTGGTTTAACGTTGACATGTTTGCAGAAACTTGACCTAGCATCAATAAAGCACAACTTTCCACTTTATCATATTCTTTTCGCCTTGCTTTTCAGCTCCTGTGTTTCTGAGGCTGAGAAAGAGAGTCATGGTAAGTACAATAAATGACACTAAATTCAAAATATTTGAACTACATTTAAGCATTTGAAAACTAGACAATCGCACAACATGGTTTGATTGCTGCTTTTAAAGGGGTCATATGATGCGATTTCAAGTTTTCCTTTCTCTTTGGAGTGTTACAAGCTCTTGGTGCATAAAGAAGATCTGTAAAGTTGCAAAGACTAAAGTCTCAAATCCAAAGAGATATTCTTTATAAAAGTTAAGAGTCAGCCACGCCTACCTAAAACGGCTCGTTCTAACACGCCCCCAAATATCTACGTCACGATGTGGGAAGATTTGCATAACGCCACCCAAATGTTCACACAAAGAAAGAAGGAGTAACTTTTATTCTCGCTGTAATATTGAAAAGTGAAAAGTGAAAAAGTGAAAAGTGACGTGACATGTGGCCAAGTATGGTGACCCATACTC